TGAGCCCAGCACGTGCACACACACACATGCACACACATCCATTCTCCCTGAAGGGAAATGTAAGTTTCTGCCAGTACAAAGCTAACTACAGAGTTAGCAGTCAAAAGAGATTCTTACCTCCTCTTAATCAGTATCTTGCCAGACTTTCCTTCCCACATCCTGGCCTATAGGATGCTCTCATTCACCATACACACTTTCTGATGTCTGACTACGCAGACCTCAAGCATTACTGCTAGAGGGAACTTTGGAATCTGGCAAAACCCTCATTTTAGAAGAGAGAGAAAGTGAGGATCCCCTAGGTGACAAACGCAACACAAGTTGGTAGTGAAACTGGAAACAGAGCTAATCTCCAGGATCCCATCCCAGCTTACTTTATTTCATAAACTGGTAGTTAAGTTTCTAAATTTACTGAGTAGGCCTCTGGCCAGGAAGGGAGGTTAGATAAACATTAAATTAATGATAAAATTAATAATAGATAAAATTAATTCATTAAATTAATTAGTTGTATTAGAAGGTTTCTTGAGGCAAAGTAAAAGTATATAGAGAGCAATTTTTGAAAAGACATATTCCACATTTAATAAGAGAACTATTCTTCACTTTATCTAGGTGGGAAGACGACTCATAATTCGGTTTAAAACGTTCCTACTCTAGGGGCACCTGGGTGGCTCAGTGGGTTGAGCGTCCGACTTCGGTTCAGGTCATGATCTCACAGTTCGCGAGTTTGAGCCCCACATCAGGCTCTGTGCTGACAGCTCAGAGCCTGGAGCCTGCTTTGGATTCTGTGTCTCCCTCTCTCTGCTCCTCCCCCGCTCATGCGCTCTCTCTCTCTCTCTCTCTTTCTCTCTCAGAAATAAAGAAACTTAAAAAAAAAAAAAACAACCTTTCTACTCTAGATTTGTGATGATCATTCAGAAACATTCATAAAACATGATAGCAACAGAAATAAACTTCATTCATTATAAGTTGGGGTGACAACATGATAACTAAAATGAAAGCAATTAATAATTCTTTCCAACATCACAATTATAATTAGCAGTTCATGAAAACAAAAGTTAAGTCACCTCTAAATTTATTCTATTAAGGAACTCAAATGTGTGGGAAAAAACTTATGTGCATAAAAATTATATTAATTGCAAATACACTGATTATTGGTTTAAGAATCTGTCCCAGGTCAGGAAAAAAAAAAAAAAACAACTATAATTCGTTGCAACCAAGAGAAACAGCTGAGAGTGTAATTTTCAAATAAGAATATTTCATGAAACTAGAACCTATTAAAATCAGATTCATACAGGGATGCTTGGGCGGCTCCATCAGTTGAGCATCTGACTTCAGCTCAGGTCATATCTCGCGGCTGGTGAGTTGAGTTAGACTTTACACTCGGGCTCTGTGCTGACAGCTCAGAGCCTGGAGCCCGCTTTGGATTCTGTGTCCCTCTCTCAGTCTGCTCACCCCCCACCCCCCACTCCTCTCTCAGTCTGCTCACCCCCCACCCCCCACTCATGCTGTGTCTCTCTCAAGAATTAAATTTTTTTTTTAATTTTTTAAATTAAAATTTTTTTAGGGGCGCCTGGGTGGCTCAGTCAGTTAGGCGTCCAACTTCGGCTCAGGTCGTGATCTCGCGGTCCGTGAGTTCGAGCCCCGCGTCGGGCTCTGTGCTGATGGCTCAGAGCCTGGAGCCTGTTTCGGATTCTGTGTCTCCCTCTCTCTGACCCTCCCCTGTTCATGCTCTGTCTCTCTCTGTCTCAAAAATAAATAAACGTTAAAAAATTTTTTAAATTTTTAATTTTTTAAATTAATTTTTTTTTAATTTTTTAAATTAGAAAGAAATAAGATTCATATTACACAAATCATTCTTTGCCAAGTTTTGTTTTGCTTTTTTTCTATTTCAAACATCAGGTGCATAAAAGCCAAGTACAGAAAAACCTCAGCTACTGGGGCATCTTTAATAGGTATACAAACCCTTTAGATTCAATAGATTCCCTAGAAATCTGGGCAAAGGACAGATGAGTGAGAAATACAAAAACAGCTTTTTATAATTCCTATCAGGACCCCTCTCATCACTGAACACAGAATTATGTCAGTTCAACCAGGTCATTTTTGTCAGCCAATATACACCATTTCCTAACTTTTCCAGATATTCATTCCTACCATCAGGATTGTTGCAGAGAAAAGAGAAGATAAAACACTGGACAGAAACAGACTATTAACAGTGTTTCTCTTTGGGTGGTGGGATTGTAGGTAACCTTCCAAATTGTTTCCAATGAAAACATACTACCTCCATACTCAGAAAATGAGACTATGAACATGCTTTATGAACTGTGAACCAGTATACGAATGTTACATTTTTTATTTTTACTTTTGTTGAGCATTGTAGCTCATATAGTTCTCATTCTAATGTAGCTCTTTTCTCCTGACCACCATGTAAATCTGTATGTAAAGTGTCTGGCCAGCACAATTTGCACAGCCAAGTCTATACAGTCTAGAAGTCGAGTATCTTGCAGAGGAAGTGGTTCTTTTCTGTTTATAATGGAAGAGATTTTGTTTCCTTTTGTTTTGAATGATTTGGTTACGTGAGGAGAACTATCAACATAGACCATGTGAAGCCAAGCTACTAAGCAAAAAGCATCCAACTACTCATCCCATATTCCAGAAGCCCCTTCCAAAAGAAGTCTGGTATTTCTGACTCAACATGTCCTGCCATTTCTCTTCTCTCAGAGATGTTCTGAAATCCTCTACAAAGATACTATCATCAGTGGTCCCTTGGCTTAAAATATACAAAAACTCCTCACAACTCTCCGTTAAGTTAAAGAAGTTCATGTCTTAACAGATATTCATGTTCACAGAGGTAAAGAGGAAGAGTAGAGGCATCATTCTTTCCTGATAAATATCCTCACGCAGAGAAATCCAAAATGATACTTTACACTATCAGAAACACTTAAAGCTACTGCTTTATTATAAATGAAGAGAATCATAATTCTAACTGGCCTTAATCCTTTTAATCTTGGGTAGATCTAAGATCCCTAAATCCTTTCAAAAGAGGAATTCTTAAATGTAAGGAACCAATTCTTATTTTAAGTATTCTACTGCCCCCTTGTGTATCTCATGTTTAGTGGGAAAGGTAGCTCACAAAATACAGCAATTTTTTTTTTTATTCTCAGAAATACTTCAGTAGAATCCCAAATATTAGAACTAGAAAGAAACTGAAAATCAAGACCAGCATGTTCATTTCACAGGGGACAGAAGGGAGATCTTGAAGGATTATATCATTTGCCCCAGATCATCACAGCGCTAGTTAATAGCAGAGCAGATACTGCTGAATGGAACTTAAGCGTCTGAGTGCTAATTTCTCTACTGAAATGGAGACTGCAGCCTGGAAGAAAAGAAATAATGGTGTTTTGGAGTTAGAAAGATCAGAGTTTGAAAGATCACCACTTCACAATTTTCCCCAAGCCTGTTTCCTAGTTATAAAATGGGATGAATAATAATTATTACAAAGTTGTCCGAAGAATTAAGTATGACCATGTTCATCAAGCCCTCAGTAAGTATCTGCAATACAGTAATACACGAAGTGGTAATACAACTATAAAAATACATAGAAAATTGTTTTAAATTGTTATAGCCTTTGAGATCTCTGGACAAAGGCATTCTAAAATACTATCTGGCGGCATTTAACTCTAAACTTTGTCTAATCGGGCACAAAATAAAACTTGAAAAAATAAAGCTAGTTCTTCTGTTGTGTTGCTTCAGTTATCATATTTATTCTTTTTTTTTTTTATTACCAGTAAGAAAATTGTGACAGAAAATACCCCACAGCAAATGCTGAAGCAGTGAACAGAACCCTTAGATGAAGGTCACAGAAAAACAAAGCAGAACTCAGTGTCCCAGTCACGGTATAAGGTCACAGCTCCTCTGTCTCCTTTGCTAAGGGCCCTGCATTCACCACTGCGAGGCCAGGAGAGCCGGTCTGGAAAGGTGGAGGCAGGAATTTTACTTCTGACCTTGCTAATAATTAACTAGATCAACTTGGGCCAGTCATTTCATCTCTTTCTTGACATGTAAGATAAAGTACTACTTACCTCGTAAAGTCCTATAGTAAGGTAGCATAATAAATGTGAAACAAGCATTGTAACCTCCGAAGTACTTTAATAACCTCTGAAGTAAGTAAGCTAAGTTTATCTTAAACTGAAAGCAATAAAAAAGCATAAGTCTGTCATCAAGTAGGGGAAGAAAAACTAAACTTGGTAAGTTGAAGGCAGCCTAGATTACAGGATGTTATACAAACAGCATTCTGATCCCTGGGAAATTTCTCTCTACCCTCTACGATGCCCCTGGCTTTTGATGAAGATTACTCCCAAAATACTGGCAACATGGAAATCTTTGACTCTTAAATAAATTTCCCTCAAGGGTATCCTGATAGCAGGATTGACAGAGCTTATCCCTGACTATATATCACAAAACAAACGCACCAGCAGGGTAAAGGCAATTCATCTTAGTTTGCCAGGAAAATGACTAATATTGATTACTCTCTGATTTGTGGCTGCAGTAATCCTGATCCTCATAGGCAAGTGCTGTGAATGGCTCTGTTCTATTTTTATAGGTGGCCTGAGAGTGTGACACACACCACGCTGGTAAGGAGCACGGACTGGTGATCCACATATGTTAACTGAACACTTACTATGTGTCTAGCCTCCCAGAATTTCAAACATCAGAAAGAGGTATTACTGGAGTTGGCAGCATAAAAGAGGAAAGGCACTGATATAAACTAATGTGTAAAGAAAAAAATGATAACAGCATTATGGTTATTGAGATGGGCACATTGCTTACACCTGTAGGGAGTAAGTCCACTGGGGCTTCTCAGGCAAATCATCCATCAACAAGTTAACTCAAGCTCTTGATTCAACCCAACAATGACGCCATATTTGCATCCAGAGTGCTAGAATAAAAGTGCTGTCGGAAACAAAATAAAAGATCCAACTCCATAAACATAAAAGGCAGCTCACCGTGAAACACACTGTTGTCCACCAGAAAATGCCTGCGGTACTGCACACAGTTTCTTTTCTCCAAGTTCCAGTAGCTCATTGTCAGAAGATTTCTGGCACAGCATCAAAACCAAATTGCTGTCAAGGGAAACAGAATGAGACAAAAATGAAGAAAATGGCAGCCACACGCTCACCCCGGTAACACAATGCATCAGTTACCCAGCATTATGAGGCAACCCATGCAGCACACAACTTCTCCACACATGGAAGCAGAGTCCCGTACGTCCTGAGAAATTTCCCACAAGCCTTCCCAGAGGGGAGAACATCATTTAATGCACGAAAACGGTAGCTTTTTCAAATAGCACTTTTCAGGGCGCAAAGTTATTGCTGTCTCAAGGGAAAATAAATCTACCATTCGGGAATAAGTTTCAGGACTAGTTTATGGGCTCTAGGCCTTGCCCATATTTGACCAGGACTCAACCCAGCCAATGCTGGTAACGTCTCAGGAAATTTCATCTGCAGGAGGGAGGTGAGTAACAGGAGGGTGACTGTCATTACCAGTTGGTGAATTTGGTGTCAGTACCACTCTGGTAGACTATGCAATCAATCCACAGAAATCTTAGAAATTAACAGTGTCCATGGAGCAATGGATAAGCTAAACACAGTAACAAAGCCTGCCTCCTTTTGGATTCACTGGTGGTCCATTCAGTACCATTAAGGTCTGGATCAACCCACACTGAACTTATTGGTGTAAGTAGAGCTGGGCGCAGGCCTCAAGCAGGGTGAACAAGCAGTGTTGCCTGCCCCCACGTGAGGCTTTCCCCTCCACAGAGAAACACAATGCTAACTAGAGCAAGGGCTTGAAAAGCAGAGATTTGAGCTGATGAATTAAACTCCTCCAAAAGCTGATGTGCATAACCCTGAACAAGGCCCCCTTTGTTCACAGGATTTGGCTAAAGCAACTTTTCAGAATTCCAGCTTCTTTTCTGGTCACGGAATAAGGCCAGGCAACACCAAGCAGGGCTGGCATGAAGGAAAACCCACAGGTGGGAAACAATTTGTTATCTGTCCTAGTAGAACAATCTAGAGTTTTGTAAAGATACTCCAGGATGAAGTCAGCCACCCAGTGAAAAAAATAAATCATCAGAGCTTTGTCTATTCATCAATGGAACAACTGGTGAAAGTCCCTAAAACTTCTCCTTGGCTCAAAGGCCCATTCTTAACCCTCTCTAACAGCAATCTTATCTGACTCCTACCTATCCTACCTTTCTTCTGGCTCCATGCCTCAACGCCTACTTCCTGCCTTATCCCCACCTGGCTAAGTCTGGCTGCCTGCCGCCCCTACTCCCTCAGGCTGAAGATGAGTCCCACCACTCCAAGTTAAAACCACCTGTGGATCCCATTGTAAAATATGACAGAAAACAACTGATTATTGGAGACAATGTCCTCCTCCAATCCAAGTGAATACTACAAAGAGCTCTCCTCTTAAAAACTATTTTTAGGGGTGCCTGGGTAGCACAGTTGGTTAACCGTCTGACTTTTGATTTCAGCTCAGGTCATGATCTCACGATTTGTGTGAGAGCCCACATCGGGCTCTGTGCTGATAGTGTGGAGCCTGCTTGGGATTCTCTCTTGCTCTCTCTTTGCCCCTCCTCCACTCACATGCTCACTCTCTCAAAATAAGCATTAAATAAATACTTTAGTTATATAAATAATGTGTTTGTATACATTTATTAATTTTTTAATGTCAACACGAATTCATCAAAAATTTTTCAAAATTAAAAAAACCCCGCTTCCCTCATTCCACATCTCTCTCTTGGAATGAACACCTTTGTTTGGTGTGTATCATTCCAGTTCTTTTCCTATGTATTTACATATGTATGTATATATACAATACATACATGAAATTTTATTTAAATTTATTTATTTATTTTGAGAGAGAGAGCACAAACAGGGGAGGGACAAAGAGAGAGGGGGAGAGACAGGATCCTAAGCAAACTCTGCACCATCAGCACAGAGCCTGATGCAGGGCTCGAACCCATGAACAGTGAGATCATGACCTGAGCCTAAATCAAGAGTCAGATGCTTAACCAACTAAGCCACCCAGGTGCCCCCAAAGACATCTATATTTTAATAATACCATTTTGAAAGAACCGGAAATAACTTTTGGGATTATCAGTAGTACGCATTTTCTTAAAAAAATGTACTGTTTATTCATATTAGAAATATTTTGAGGTACATGGAATTAAAGAGAACCCTGTCTGTATTGATGCTCATTTTTCCTTACTCACTTGATTTTGTGGTTTCCTGTGTCATTCTTTTGCCCTATTCATTCTCAATCCAAGGAAGTTTAGAGGCATCTGAAGGTGAAAGAACAATGTGCATTTGTATATAGTTAGCAAAACACATGCATATACCTGACTCTCACTTGGCGTCCTCTTAACCAGATGAAAGAAGGAAAGAAGAGGGTGTTAGCATAAGTGGTTCACCCATGCTGCTAGGCAAAGGTGGCGGTGGGATTTGAAATCATATCTTCAGATTCCAAACCCAAGATTCTAGCCATAACAGGCTATAAAGAACTAGACTGTTATGTAATGCAGTGGTTTAAAATTTTTTTATTTTTTTAAATTAATTTTTTGGTGGTTTTTAAATATGTCCTATAAATTCTTATACATTTCTCCCTCTCTTCAAATGGTAGAATCTAATTCACCTTCCTTTGAATACGGCCTGCATTCAGTGATTCATTTCTAGCAAACTCAGCTGTAATTGATGCTGTGTAATTGGTTCCAAAACTACATCATAAAAAGGAGACAGCTTCTGCCTTGGCTCTCAGAATGTTCACCCTGAGAAGCAAGGCACCATGTTGTAAGGAAGCCCAGATATGAGTGTTCCAACTGACAGCACCAGCTAGGCCCTCAGCCAACATCAATGAATCTATTGACCATTCTAACCCCAGCCTTCAAGTATTCTAGATGAAGCCCCAGAGACAGAGGTACAGAGACAAACCATCTCCTCTGTACCTCATCTATATTTCTGACCCAGAATAACAATGAAAGCTAATAATTATTGTTGCCTTAAGACACTAAGATTTGGGTAATTTATCATACAGCAATATAAAATGAATATAGGTAACATCCTCAGATACATTCAGTGAGGACTGAGACCTTCAACTCTTTGAGGACAGAAAGACAAATTCCCACAGATGTATGTAATGCAGATATTTGATCACCAGTCCTCTACGGACCCACCTTTCCAACTTGATCTTTTTACTCGCACTATAACCATTGCCCTTTTCTTCTTTAAGGGCTGGTTAAAAAAACCACTGCCTTCCTGAAATACCCCCCAGGACCTCCCCCTCCAATTTACCTGAAACTCTCTCAGGCACTGAACTGCCATAATCCTAGCTACCAGTTATTGAGTACCTACTACGTACCAAAAAAAATTTTTTTTTTAATTTTCAAGTTAGCTAACATAGTATAGTCTTGGCTTCAGGAGTAGATTCCAGTGATTCCTCACTTACATATAACACCCAGTGTTCATCCCAACAAGTGCCCTCCTCAATGCCCATCACCCGTTTTCCCCACCCCCATCAACCCTCAGTTTGTTCTCTGTATTTAAGAGTCTCTTATGGTTTGCCTCCTTCTCTGTTTTTATCTTATTTTGCCGTCACTTCCCTCCCCTTCCCCTATTGTTGTCTGTTCAGTTTCTCAAATTCCACATATGAGTGAAATCATGATATCTGTCTTTTTCTGACTGGCTTATTTAATTTAGCATAATACCCTCCAGTTCATTCCATGTTGTTGCAGATGGCAAGATTTCATTCCTTTTCATCACCGAGTAGTATTCCATGGTATATATCTACCACATCTTCTTTATCCATTCATCAGTTGATGGACATTTGGGCTCTTTCCATAATTTGGTTATTGTTGATAGCTCTGCTATAAACATTGGGGTGCATGTGCCCCTTCGAATCAGCACTGCTGTATCCTTTGGATAACTTCCTAGTAGTGCAATTGCTGGGCTGTAGGGTAATGCTGCTTTTAAATTTTTGAGGAAACTCCACACTGTTTTCCAGAGTGGCTGCACCAGTTACTAAGTACCAGTTATTGAGTACCTTATCACAGTTCCTGTGATAAGGCTTTATTGACATCATGGGGTCTCAACCTTGACTACACATTAGAATCAATCTCTTGGGAAACCTTAGAATCCCAGATCCCAGGCCACACCCTAGACCAATTATATCAGAATCTCTAGGGGTGGGACTTAGGTGTCCCTCCACAGGTGATTTCAAAGTGCATCCAAAGCTAAAAATCATTCTTCACGTATATTATCTCTCCTCCTTGAAGAAACTCTTCTGGGTGGGTGTTTTTAGGAAGAAGAGGCTCAGAGAATATATACGGTTGAGCTAGAGCACAAACGTCTAAGTAATTGAACCCTATGGCTTCCAGGCTATAAGCCTCCTTACTTTGGTTAATTACTTACACATCTTACCTCTCCTGGCATCTGCTTGCTGCTGAAGGATAGAAGATTGTAAGCTGCCTCTGGGTGCCCGACCCGGGCAATGCACACTGCAGGCCCTTAGTAAACATTAACGAGGGGGCGCCTGGGTGGCGCAGTCGGTTAAGCGTCCGACTTCAGCCAGGTCACGATCTCACGGTCCGTGAGTTCGAGCCCCGCGTCAGGCTCTGGGCTGATGGCTCGGAGCCTGGAGCCTGTTTCCGATTCTGTGTCTCCCTCTCTCTCTGCCCCTCCCCCGTTCATGCTCTGTCTCTGTCTGTCCCATAAATAAATAAAAACGTTGAAAAAAAAAATTAAAAAAAAAAAAACATTAACGATGCCTTCCTTATATGCCCCATTTCCTGGATTCCTACTTGTTGAAGACTGAAGGAAGAAAGGGCTCACTCTGGCCTCTAGAATCAGAGCAAATGATTTCAAAATCTAGAGATGATGGAGATGGAGATAATGGAGTTAGTAGGGCTGGGGCAGAGAAAGAGAGAGTTGTGCAACAAACTCAATCTTGGTTTAGATCAGATTTAAAAGATCCCGGGGCCTAGTGCTCACCAAGGGGAAGCAAGTGCTCACCAAGGGGAAGCAACTGAA